TGACAATTAGTACATTTGGAACAACTGTGATGTAGGACTTGTTTTACTTGTGTATACAATACATTTTAGTATTCATGGCTGCATTCCATTTAGGTGCTTAGCAAGCTCTTTGCAGGTTGTTCCTCATCAGACCAGCAGCTGTCACTGTAGACCACAGTTTTCCAGCAGGTTTTTACCTTATCGTTAATCTTACAACCTTTATCATATATACAGCCTGGTTTTATACACCCATCAACTGAACACTACACAGGAAAATCCATAGGTACGGGGTTTGTTACATGCCAGCGTTGGGGGAAAAAATCCAACTCTTAATTAATCCATGAATGAATTGTTTCATAACAAAATACTAAATCAAGAAAGAAATATATAGTAGTATCTTATCATGTTATTTCATACCTTGAATGAGACAGTTTTATCTACACGAGAGGCGGTTCCTCTTCTACGGTGGATTTCATTAATGAGAACTGGATACAGCATCAGAGGCGGGGCTCATTCATTCCTGTGAAAGTGGCACATGGAGCCAGAAAATCAACTTCCTGCTGTAAAGAAACTAGCTAGCTGAAATCATACTGATGCACCATTATACAATTCCACTGTGCAAAGCAAACCAGGGTATTTCCCAAAGTGTCAAACTATTCCTTTAATTTGCAAGTAATTAAAAACAAGAATAATTTAACTCTTTATTTTTCCCCAAAAGAACACTCTCTCTCTCCCTCTCTCTCTCTCTCTCTCTCTCTCTCTCTCTCCATCCTCTCTCTCTCTCTCTCTCTCTCTCTCTCTCCATCCTCTCTCTCTCTCTCTCTACTGTTTTCACTGCATGTCTCTCTGACCTGAATAACTGTTGGACAGGTTCAGACTGGTTTGTCCATTGTTCTGGTGGAATAACGTGTGTTGTCTCCATCTGTCAGCTGTGATTGATTAGTCTCGTCACCGTGGGGATGGAGAATTAACAAGCTGCTCCACTCTGTCAGCTGCCTACATCTACCGTTCTCTCGTTCAAGCTTACCCTTTTATTTGGAGTTTATTTCACACTCTGAAAGGTCCAGTGTGTAACATTTAGGAGGATTTAGTATTGTCAGAAATGGAATATAATATTCATAAGTATGTTTTCATTAGTTTATAATCACCTAAAAATAAGAATCGTTGTGTTTTTGTTACATTAGAATGAGCTGTTTTTATTTACAGAGAGAGCTGGTCCTCTGATGACGGAGTCCGTCATGTTGAACCACCATTTTTCTACAGTAGCCCAGAGTGGACAAAACAACACTGGCTCTAGAGTGGGCCTTTCCTGTTTTTCGAATTGTTTTGTGGCCACCGTAGTTTCTTTATCGTGCTTGGAAATGTAGGGTGAAGAAAGGGAGTTGCAATCTGCAACTACATCTCTGTTGCCAGACTCTCTGTGTCCGTGCTGAAGTCGAGTTTTAGAAAAAACTAGTGTTTGGGACTATGTATTCATATCTTGCACTGCATTGTAACTGCACTGTGAAATTGTATTTTACTGGAACTTTCTATGTGTTATGTGTGTTTCTATCAAGTCCTTTTTATGCGTATCGTTTAATATTGCTTTATGTTTCTTTTATCTTTCTTTCTATGTAAAGAACTTTGAATTGCCTTGTTGTTGAAGGGTGCTGTACAAATAAACGTGTCTTTCTCCATCTGTACATTTACAGGCGTCCCTTCAAGTCCTTTGTTGTACATTTTTTGTGTTGTGGCACAAAGAATAATGAGCTTTTCTTAGATGCTGTCATTTATTTTTCTTCTTTCTTTCGGTCTACTTCTCTCGCCTTCCTTCATTAACTTCTTTCTGCTGACTCCCCCAGTTGTCTTCTTCTTCCTTCCCTGCTGATCTTCAAACTCCCTGAGCATCCTGAGCTTGTAACTCACTGGGCTGAACCATTTCATTGTTCCTTTCTTTCCTTCTAAACCCTGCGTACAGCGCTGATTTAAGTTCCTGGTCTCTCTCAAATCAAATCATCACAGCTACCCCTGCTGAACAATAAACATGAGATTAAAAAGTAAAGCCAAAGTATTTATTTTACAGTTTTCCTTTTCTCGGAAGTTACATTTTGGAAACAGTTTGCACACAGGTCTAAACTGAGAACCATTAAAAAATAAAACCTACAATAATTTAACACTAAATAACAGTTACAGTAATAAGAGAAAAATACATTTTGAGTTGGTATTCCAGCTTCAAACTTCAGCAATTCTTTTGCAGAAATATATTAAAATATATAACCGGAGGAAAAGGTTGCTGTCATTATATTATATCAATGGTCTCTAAAAAGTGATGTAAAAAAAAAAATTTGGGCATTTTAATAAGGGGCAGTTTTTCTTACTTCTGTGTTGGCTTCATTTGATGAGATGCTTTCCCCTTCACAAGAAATTGTTAAACATTGGTTGCACATCCGACCCAGTGTTGGAATCCTTTTGAGTGAAATAAAACCACACGTTTAAGGTAGCTGCTAGCTAGTGGTAGGCTACCTGTTGCCAGAGCCATATAGAGAGAGTGTTGCTGTAATGTTAACTAGTGATGACACATATGAAGATGCCTCTGTTACGTCAGAACCAGAGGGCAACTATTTAAATAGACACCTCTGGTACCAACACAAAGAATTGAGATCTGTGTTGTGATTTGGTTCGGGAAATACCAGGAACCGTTGCCATAGTGGTTGCCATGTTTCGGTACCCAATCCTATGTTAGTATATTATTCTTTATTTTCAAATGTTTTTTTAAAATAAAATCCTTTTAATAATCCCATTTTTTACTAAATCTAACTGTAATCTCATTGTCTTTTTTTCTATAACTGTAATGGTAAACGTTACTCCCCAGGCCTGATCAGATCAACATCTTCAGGTCATTTGCTGTCGTCCTTGTAAAAGAAAGGAAAGATTTAAATATTTCAGTCTTGCGATCAGACAATCTATAATGGGCTGATGCACTTGACTGAAAGAAAGAAAAGGGAACACTTCATACATTTTACTTCATTTTTGATTTAATTTACTCAGCATTTTTCACATATTTCACTACTCAAAATTGTCTGCACAAGGCTTTGTACACTACACCACTTTAAATTCAAGAATTATGTCCAATAATCCACAACGTTCAATACTTAATTCATGCATTTCGTTACTCAGTATTAATATCTAATTTTACACGGGTCCAAAATAATGATGGGCACAACCAGTCTCCTCTGAGGTCAGAACCACAATGTGAACCATCCTGCAGCCAAGGAAAAAAAACATAAGCAACTAAGTTTAATATCAATAATTTAAAATATAATAAAGCTGAAAAAAACAGACAGAGAGACCAATGTCAACTCTAAAACGAGCAGAAAATAATAAACTTAATGGGTCAGGCGCAGGCGTTGTCCTTAGGAGGTCAATGAGATCTGACTGTCGGATATAAAAGTGGGGATTTTTCTTTTAATGCACATAGTGGTTGAATACTGAATGTTTGTCAATCGTACAATCTTCCACTGTTTGTATGAATAATTCTTTAATACTGTCAATATGTTTCTGCACCAGCGTCACCATACATTTCTGTACATTTATTGTCTTCGGAGAATAAAGTAGCTTAGATTCTGAGACGTGAAGGGAAAAACACTCGACTTTTCCTCTGAATCTTCAGAAACTTTTTTTCCTAAATATGAAAACAAAGCACATAAAGTTAAAAAGTTCTTCTCTTAAAAGTTGTCATCCAATCTACGTATTCTGTTGAGCACATCCGTACGGCACGTAGTGGAAACTGTATCATCACGTCACACGTTAGGCAGCAGCGTGCACTCAGCCCTAAAAGGCCAATGTACCAGCTAGGGTTGAGTGAGTACTCGGCTGAAACAAGTATCGGGTACAGATAATGTAATTTTTGTGTATCATCATGTATTAGTAAAATGTGTCAATATCCGTACTCGTAAATATAGAAACTTTCACATTAGAAAATCACTTGAGTGATCAAAATTTGCTTGGAAGTTCAATTCTGCAAATAGTTTTCTAATAAATATAGCAATTTCAGTCTTGAATGAACAACTTCAGTTTAGTCCCACCCACTTCCAGTTTAAGCACCACCCACATTGTGCATAAGCCCCGCCCATTTCAAGTACAGGCACAAATACAAACATATTAGTTGGATACAGATATAGATAATGATGTACTCGCTCATCGTACCAACTGTACGTTAGCTACGAGCTAGCCAGCAACCGACTGAAGGGTCTGATTGATCTCAGAAGCTACCGGGAATTTTTTCTGGGATTCCTCTCCAGTCGCTCTCCTTTTTCCTTTCTGGAGGCCAAGATTCAAAAAGATTAATTCAAAAGTCTTGCCTCAGTTTGCACTTCCCACTCATGTGTGTCTGAACCTGTCTCCCTCAGGTTCAGAGAATATTGTCTCCACCAGTTAGTCTATCGTGGAACATTTGATGGGGCAAAGAACCTTTCAAAGATGTTCCCTCCATAAATGTATCTTTACTAAGTTTGAAGGTACGCCATGAAGGAGAGATGTTGAAAAACCTGGTTTATATCAAATGTTTTCTTACATAACAGAAGTTTGGCTCTGAGACCTGAGTCCTGATCAGGATCCAGTCCAGTTCCAGTAGAGTTAAGCAATGGCGCTTCTTTGGCTGCAAAAGAGGACATCCAACATCAAATCCCAACATCATGAGTTCCCATATTCAGCCAGGACTTCTTTTCTAACATAAAAAGTTGTGAAGTAAGTCAACTTTTCAAGTTTAGGCAGTTTTTGGGCTTATTCCTTTTTAGAGGCTATTGCCGCTTGTCTTCCATCTCTGCCTTTTCAGGACAATTCTCTGACATTTCCACCATCTCCTGTTGCACTCATTACGTCTTTGTATCTTCCTTCTTTTCTTCTTTGTCATTCTGCTTGTACTTGCTATCAGAGGGGCAGTTTTAAGCAGATCTTTGTCATACACCTAAGTGTTCAACATTTAAATATCTCCTCTTTTCATCTACCCTCTCTCCAAATTCTCCTGAGTCTTAAGTCTTTCACTTTCTTTTTAACAAGTTTCTTTCTTCCTTCAAGCTCAGAGAAATCTGAAGCTTTGATCTTTATGTTCCAAGTTTTTATTGTCCATTTCTTCTCTCTTTTCTCCTCTTCTTTTTCCTCTCTGTTTGCAGATCACACAGTAGTCACAGAAAGCAGAGGGTTGTATATTTTCTTTCCATCGGGTGACCTTGAGCCATGAGCCAGCAGCTCCTGGATGGTGATCCAGTTGTCGAGGATGCGGCGATTCCTCTTCTTCATGATCTTCTTCTGGCTCAGTAACAGGATGTTGTTGCTGGGGGAGTCCTGTCGGGGATGAAGCTGGGCGGTCTGGGATGAAAGGGGGTCATCAGCGCCCCCTGTCAATGATGAAGTGTCCCTGGACATAAAACCAAAAAGTAACACTGATTTAGACCAACATTAAAATCCATAGTAGTTTTACACATTTGAATATGCAGCCCCCAAAAAGTCCTGAAAGAATTTTTTATCTTGTGCACACAAGGATCTAATACGTTGGTCGAAGAAGGTAATAACTTATCTTGAACTCAAGATAAAGAGTATTATATTTTGGCGGACTTTGGGGCTCTGTATTTAAGTCCAGTCCATGATGAATTACTGCCAAGCACGCCCTGAACCTGCACTGAAATATGTTTTTGACACTGCCTCAAATGACTTCCTGTAATGGGATAAACTGCTCTAAACTAGTCAAATCTGTTCTGATCAATCCCTACAAAAGACATCTTGTACAAACAACATCCATATCTATACATTTTTTCTATACTGCCAAAAAAGTAAATGTTAAACCAACTTTACAGCTCTGTGCAACTTCAAGGCAGCCATTTGTTTCCATCAGTCTCTAACTGTATGCAATGATTGCTTGAATTGCTTTGAATATAGCTTATAAAATGTCTTTTAGCAGTGAAATATTTTAAGAAAGCTTTAAGTTTTCACTTGCTGCTTCAGATAAAATGTTATTGAAACGTGTCCCAGTAAAGTCCAGTATCATTCCTCATTCTGAGCCCAGCAACCCCCACACTCACAGGTTTTCACTGAGCTCACAGGTGAAGGGGATTATGATGATTAAGGTTTATGGTTCAGTGTTTAGATCTTGGAGTGACCACACTGAGTCAACCTTTGTTTGACAACCACCAACAGATTCACTGTTTGTTTCAGTACTTGTTTATTATGTTTGACTGATTATTGGTTTGGATTAATGAGGAGCTGTTGGGATGTGTGATGGATTTTTACACCACAGGGCATTTTATCAGCTGAAGGAGGTAAGAGGATTTTGTTGTTGACATTAATCTCTGCATCTCATGATGTGCTGGTGAACACACTCAGAGCTCTTGACAGTGACAAACCACAAAGAAAACAATTAGTTAAACGATAAAAATGCATTAAAAATGTCCCAATAATCTCTACCAACACCCCTTGGTGTAAATCAAATGTATAACTACATTTAAATTAATTAATCTTAAAGTATATCCTGTGTTCTCACACTGGTGTAACTCCATAATCCATACTGCAAAGATAAATTAGCCACTGTTTTCCTTCAGTCATTTTTCCTTTTAAAATTTTGGAAAGAACTGGACTCTACCTGTCTCCTTTGAGGTACTCCAGTCGGCTCTGCATCATGAACTCTCTTCTTCGGCGGTATTCTCTGGCTCTCAGCAGCTGCTGCTTTCTCTCCTCTTTGCTCCAGTATCGGCCCTGTTGAAGCACAGTTTGGAAGATGTTTCGAGTCACATTGTACGTAGCCCGGGTGTAGAAATAAGGGATTAACATAATTTAGTCCCAAATAAAGTTAAAAGTCAACTGTATAGGATTTAGTGGCATCTAGTGGTAAATTAGCAGATTTCAACCAGCTCGCCTCACCCTCCCATCCCCTTATACACTAATGAAAAAATACCTATAAATATTATATTCCATTTCTGCCAATAGATCCTCCTAAATGTTACTCACCGGACCTTTTAAGTAAAGAACCAAAAGCCGCCATCTTTTGAGTCTACACTCAGTCTACCTGTTTCATTTCACTGGCAGCATCATCGTCAGTCGTCATGCCGCTGCGTTCCTCCCTGATCTTCATGGCTCTGGCCTTCAGGAGACGATCCCTGACCGGCCGCTTGGCGACGTAGCGAGTGCCATCACTCCGGATCTTTACCTGGACACAAATAGGACAAAGTCCAAAGACTAAAATCGAGCATTTAGAGGCAGAACAATACGTTTCCTTTAAGCTCACTGGGGTTTAATTTGACTTTATAAAGTTGTGGTGCTTTTTTCTATCATTACAATTTTCCATGACTCAGTCAATGTGTTCCTACTGACTTCATATTATTATTTTTTGTTTTCTGTCTAATTAGTGATTTTTAACCCCAGTCAAGAGCACCCATTTCTGCCAATGCAGTTTTAATAGATATTTATTGAGTTTGTGTTTGAGTTCATGTTTGCCATTGGTCCTAATTTAAAGTACCACACACAATCAGGGGTTTAGGATGACAATAATTACATAACGAGGAAGAAATATGTTAACATTTTGCCATGATGTTTGTTTTTTACAGTAGTGTCAAGGAGGGTTCAAGTCCATTAATTACAAAATCATGTATAATGTAAATTAAGGCTTAAGGCTTAAATTATGGCTGAAATTAATGCCATTATAGTAATAACAAAATCAATATATATCACAATACACAAACATATTATGTACCACTATTTTCGATTACACCAGACCAAATAACTCATTTTTAGTTTAAATCTGCTCCATCATTTATTTGGATGGTAGAATTTTGTTTAAAAAAATATCACTATGACAATATGACCACAAGAATAATAACTTCCACAAAAAGTTGATATACGATGACATTGAATTCTCACTCAGATTATTTTCTTCCATAAAGTAAATATGACACAATGCACAGATTTATGTCCCATCATGTTGTTTGTAATGTTAACATTTGTTTCTGCTTTAACTTCAAGGTTTGCTTTTCCTATGGCGTGGTTCAGGGCCCTAGATCCTCCAGAGAGAGAGTCAAAGTGTCCTTGAGGAAGACACTGAACTGTCTCCAGATGAGCAGGTCAGTACCTTGCGTGGCAGCTTCTGCCATCGGTGTGAATGGGTTAAGGTTGGCATGTGTTTTAGTAGTCAGTAGACTAGAAAAGCGCCTCCCAGTCTCACAACTGAATTACCAAGACAAGCAAATACAAATTTGTCAAACAATATAGAAGCGACTGTGAAAAACCAAGCAGGTTCACTGAAATGAACGGACACCAGTCTTCAACCAGTTCCACACTATATTTGTGCAGCTGATTTGTAAAATTAGGCAAATAGCCAATGTAATTCATCATTATGGTCAATATTACTAAAAGCTGGAAGGTAAGTTGGAAACTTAGCCTAGCTAACCTATCTAGCTAGCTAATTTCTCTTTATCATTATCAGCATCATCACACCATTTACCTTCCACTCCATGCGTTGTGGTGAGGCAGTTGGTGACGAGTGCATCAGCCCAAGCGGTAAGGCAAGTCCTAACCGCGAGGCGCCTGTATGATGGTCCTCCAGTGCACAGGGGGCGCTGTTCACACTCCTGGGGCTGCCTGGGCCACTGCTGCCTGTGCCCATCCCTCTCTCCTCACCCTCTGCCCTCACTGTGTCTCTCACACGGTCCAGTGGGTCCACCAGGCCCTCCGAGGGGAGGGTCATACAGCTCTGGTAGCGCTCTAATGGTTTGTTGTGGCTGTGGTGTCTTCTGGTGAAATAGGGACTGGACTCTGCACTTCCACCTATGGGCCTGTCGGTGGCTCCACCTGCAGAGATAGCAATACAGCTTAACACTCAAAAACCAGAACCAAGGAGGAAACAACATTTTAACAGAGCTTGGGGACCAACAGGGGTCCTTGAATGGGGTCCCCAGCAAAAGGAAGAATAGTTTCTCATCTGGAAGTTGGAATAACAAGAGAATATGGAGTTGGCAATTTTTTATAGATTTTAATTTATGATCATAATTTGAACATTGATTGACTATGAAGACTTTCTTATCTTCAAACCTAAAAATAAAAATCTTCAACTGGAGAAACATGCATTGTGTACCTGCTCTGGAGCCCCGGCCTCCATCAGCCACACCCCTTCTTGACGATGACCCCGCCTCTCTGGTCAGAGACCTGATGGTGGCAACAAACACAGCACAATATCCAATATTATTTATACATAAAACAAAAATATGCATGCAGCTTTACTAAATTTAAACTGACAAGATCTGTTAAAATCAGTAAAAAACAAAACAATAAAGGAGACCTGAACTTGGAGGGAGTAGAGGGGGTGGACCTTGAGCTGTTTGCCACGTTCCCATTGGCTGTTTCGTACTTCCTGTAAGTGGTGGGGGAAAAAGAGCAGCTGAGGTTGGAGTGGCGTCTCTCTCTGTCTCGGTCCCGTCTGTGACGCCGCGGGGTAAGGGGGGAGTTCAGAGGTGGGAGGCGACTGAGGGGGAGAAGAGGAGGTGGAGACATCAGTCGTCTCCCACCTTCATCTTCGTCTTCGTGGAGAGGCGGGATCTGCTCGGTGCTGACCAACGGCGTACTCCGGCAGCTCTCTCCTCCGGTGTTGTAGGCGCTAGTGCTGTCTTTGTCGTCCGACCGCTCTCGCTCCGGGAGCTCGTTGATGGCCGACAGCTCGTGACGATGAGGATCGTTATCATCATCATCATTATCATTATCCAGACCTACAAATAAGGAGGTTTTGTTTTTCAGTTCTGAGGTTAAAAATTAAAGTAACTACAATCCACATATTTATATGTGATTAGAGTTAATTTAAGCACATTAAAATCATTTTTCTTTCAAATTAAGCCTTTCTGCCATCTAGTAGTTTAAAAAGTGAGGTAACACTGCACTGTAGTGCAGAATGACATCACAGAGCAGATGTGGTGCAAAATGAGAAGAACAATTAAACAAAAGACAACAATGCTGTTTGTGTGGATAGTTCATAAGGAAGTGACTCAATGAGGTTTGTTAAGGCAAGACCAGAGATACAGGAAGATGTAGTGTCACATCTTAAGTTGGCTAATGTTAGAAAAATGCTAGCTAACTAGCTAACTAATCTATACCAATTGGTATCAGATGGAAAAAAAACCTTAATCATGCTGTAGTTGAAGTGTTGCCATTTTAGAAAAACTAATGAAATGCCTACTAACAAGTGTAAATTTCCTCATTATGTTGATTTAAAATGTAGAGGCTGTTCAGGGAAATATGCATAATTGCTTTCTTGCCTAGAAATAAACGAAAATATTGTCAGTCTCATCTCTATAGGCTGAATATGAGCCTTTAACTTTCTGATAATCTGTTCAGTTGTGTCTTGATCTCAGTCATTGTGTTCTGCACCAACAAAGATTAAAAGCTCACTAATTACAGTATATCTTATTTGTTTAATCCGTACAGAAAAATAAAGTGTAAAAATGACCTGTTGTGGTTTTAAGGGGGGTTGTGTGACGGACTATTTCGAGGCCCGGAGCTGAGACTCTCTGCTGGTTGCCTGGCAACCTCCCAGCAACGACAAGACACAGAACCCCCTGTAAAATCACAACTTTTGTTCCTATAAAATAAAATAGGGAGAGATCTCAAAACATCTTTTTAAAATACTGCTATCTGGTTGTAATTCACATTTCCATGGATACTAAAGGGACAAGATGCTAGACTTTGGAAATTTCTTTCATGCATCCCTGTTTCAGTTGTTGTCGTGGTTACCTGCTTCAGGAGGGCCTGGTCGCCCCGCTCCGACCACCACCGTCTCTTCCTCCATCATCCAGGCTTTCAGACATCTCTCTCTGAGCTGCTGCATCTTTTGCGCTCTGAGAATGTTGCGGCACTTGAACTCCAGGTGGCGCAACTCCTCCTCGATCAGCGCCATCTCGTGCTCACTCAAAGTCACATTGCAGTTCACGTCCACCATCGAAGAAGAAAAAGAATCTTCCTCCTCTCCTTCCTTCCCTGGCTCCTTCCTCTCCTCCTGATCTTTCCTCTCCCCTTTGACGTCCCCCGCTGCGTCTTTTTGCTGTTTTTCGTTGCGTCTCTCGTACTGGCACTTGATCTCCAGCAGCTCCTGGTATCGCTGGCACTCCTCCTCCGTCAGACCTGGCATCATCATCATTGTCAGAGCGGGCTGATGGTGATGGTGGTGGTAGTGCTGCAGGTCAGAGGTCAGGCGTTAGCAGTCAGAAACCAACATCAGGCCACGGAAGTCTTCCAGTAATCATTACAAGTCTAAATCTTTATTTTTGTTCGAGAGAGCAGCACTGATAGAATACCTTTGTGTTTGATGATTATTTGTGCTATCTGAAGACATTTTCTTAAAACAGACCATTCTTACTCAGCCTGAATGGACACCCTGGGTTCAGTTTACTCAGCTGAAACAATATAATGAACTGTTCTGACAACATTTCTTGTGTATTCAATACTAAATACAATTTACCAAAGCCAACTACTGTCAAATTACAGTTGTTTTATCTCTTTCTATCCAGCAGCGCTGACCACAGTGGAAGCACTGGTCGCAGCTCTTGTTGCTATGAGACGACTGACAGCCCAAGTGAAGTGCAACATTTTAGATAATAGCTTAAAGGGTTTTCTCCGTGCTAAAGCACATACATTATCTGAATCATTAGGGGAATATTAGTTATTCAAAGAGTGAGTCAAGCTATATTCCATATTTTTGTTCTTGTCAACAAATCCCATGAAAAGCCTAAAACTAATGTGTTGGTGTGTGTGACTTTCTGACTTCCCAGCCCCAAACCTGTAATCTTCATCTTTATCCCTGGGACTGATGCAATATGCATCTTGATGCATTGCCAACAATCCAATACATTAAACATATATATTACATATGAAGCAACCTGAGCCTGTGAGAATTTCTGCTTCCCACTCAGGGAGCTGTAGATACCCGCCATTTCCCCGTTCAAAGCTGCTTGGAGCTGCTCTGTACGGTATCGCTCTGCGCTCAAGTCAGCTTTCACCAATATTCACACAATATGATTCAACGTGATTTGATGGAAAGGAATATGATGTTAGAAACTATGCTCCCCAAGTTCATCCCAAATTGTATCCAATGCACACGTTTGTAATCTTGAATTTTTGTCCTGGTGCAACGATGCAAATTGGAATTGATAAAAATAAGTACGATATACAAAATCATACAATAATAATACAGACCTATCCTTCAACAAGACCTAATTTTAGTGTACCTTGTGGTGGTGATGGTGGTGGGGACTGTACGCTGCTCCTCCTGTTCCTCCTCCAGCTGCCCAGTCCAGGCCAGGGAGGGAGTCGGAGCTGAGCTGGAGGTCTCGCATGTGGAGGAAGGGGGGGGTGGTGTCTCCTCGCCCGGGACTGGGGCCAAGGCCAGGGCTGGGTCTAGGACTGGGTCTGTGTACAGGAAACACAGAGGGGTCTGCTACAGTACACTAAAACTGAGTATTGTTAGATATGAATCTGAAAGTTCTTCCCAGTATTTGCATTTGTTACTGAAGTCAATTTAAAGGCTGTCCTACCTGGGGCTGGGTCCCGGTCTGAACTTCCTGGTGCTGCCTGGTGTGTTGGTGGTGTTGGTGTTACAGGCACTGGTCTGATCACCCAGCAGGTCGTGTTCGGACGACTCCTCGTAGCGTGTGCTGTCGTCGGTCCGGCCCACTCCGCTGTCCAGCTCCTGGCTGTTGGACAGAAGAGGAGCCAGGCTCAGCAGAGGAGGGAGGGGTACAGGTGGGTCTCTGTCCTCCTTCTCTCCTCTCTCTCCTTCCTCCCCATCCTCATCCTCTTCCTCCTCCACAGCCACATCACCCCCTGCACCCTCTCTACCTCCCCCTCCTCCTCCCGGGCAGGACAGACCTCCTCCTCCTCCTCCTCCTCCTCCCGTCCGGCAGAGGCGATAATAGCCAGAGAGGTGAGAGGAAGTGTTGGAGCAAGAGGAGGCTCGAGGGTTTGGGTGGAAGCTTCCTCCTTCCAGGGTTAGCTCCATGTCCTCTTCTGGGTCAACAGGGTTTTCATTCTGGAAGGATGCAGAGAAAATTAATGTGAAGATGAAAATAAGCTGACATTTTATAGCTCATTATTAAATTATTGAGTGTTAATGGCTGTAATCATTTAAATGACAGTTAACTCTTTTAAACAACCAAGATGACCTTAAAAAAAACATACATGTCCACTCCGAACGGGAGCTGAGTCAACTCACCCACTCATTTCTTTCTGTTTAATTACCGTTAATCTACAGCTGTTTTAGAAAGTTACTGAACCTTTTTAAAAATGAAATGAAATACTTGTGGCTTATACTTGTACTTGCAGGCTTTGAGCTGAGGCAGTACTGAAGGAAGAAGAAAAATATGAATTAGAATTTGTGTTGGAGTTGTGCATTTAGTTGTGATATTATGTCAGTTTTGGTCTTTACGAGTAATCAGATGTGTGTGAACCTATCTTCTTGTGTATCCATACCGTGTGTGTGTGCGTGTGTGCGTGCGTGTGTGTGCGAGTGCGTGTGTGTGCGAGTGACCTTGATGGAAGAAATTAGGTCACATGGGATAAATATCCTCTCCTCTATTTCCTCTCTTCATCCATCATCCTCTCATCTCTGCATCATTTCCTCTATCTCTGATACTGCTCCCCCTCTGTCTAGTTTCAACAGCATTTACAGCAGGTTCTGTTTTTCTGCCACTATAAATATTTCACCATATATATATATATTTAATAACAGTCTCTAGGAAAAAGC